TAAGAGTCGGCAAGAATTCATCCTCAATAGAACATCAAGGAATATCAAGGAAGTCAACATTTTCAAATTGAATTTTGCTTTTCTTGAGTTTTATTCTTTGTTTTTCCACTGATTGTTGGTTCATAACTATGATTTCATATTCTATTATTTTTCTTATGAACTAATATTGCCAACTAAGACTAAGATTATAACTTAATCAATTTAATATAAATTTTTATAGTTTTTATATTTATGGGATTGCTATTTCAAGATCAGTATATATTATTATTTTTAATTCTTTTTAATACTTAATCACTATTAAAATTGACATAGAAAGTATAATTAAGATCGATAGATGATTTTATGCAATTGTTTCTAATGATATATACCATTTTTTTTAAAGGCCCTTAATAATAATAATATATACCATGAATTGAACAACAACAAAAAATGGACCATTGTGATTTATGCAATATTAGTTACAAGTGAACTCAAAAGTTTTCTGCATAAACTAAAGATATAATGCATTTTTATATATTTAAATTTATATAGAGATATAGTGAGTTAATAGATGAAATAAATTTGATATAATTTGAGAAAATATATCTAATATGATAGGTTGTTGTCATGAGTAGTAAGTATTTAGAAAGTATAATAATCTGAAATCTATATTAATTAGTTATGGTGAAATTGGATACTTTACTACCTTGTATCTTAGTGAAATTTTTTTTGAAATTGTTATTTTCTTTTAATTAGTTTTAATTAGAGATTCTTTCCTTTTATTTACAATTTTTGTAATCTATGCCCTTAAAGGACTAGTCAAGGGGTGTAATTATTACATTCTTTTATAATTAATTTATATGAAAAGTGTAAGTGTTGATTTTGAATTAATCAATTAACCAACAAAAATAATTCACATGTCAATAGTATTAAAATAAATATCAATTTTTATAATTTTTTATACAAATTAATTGTAAAAAGGTATATTTATTGTATCCTTATGGCACAATAAACCCTTTTAGTTATTAAAATAATTCTAAAATTAGTTATTTCGATACTTAATTAGTCAAAGGATCTATTTGGTATAGCAATTAAAACTCAATGGATAACAGATAACAGATAGTGGATAGCGGGTAGTAAATAGTGAATAGAAAATAGCAATAATGGGTAGTGGATAATAGTTAATGACTAGTGGATGGCAGATAGCAAAAAATGGATAATAGATAATAAATAGTGAATTTCAATCGATATAATTGTTTGGTTATATAATGGTTAGTAATTATCATTTAACATTAAATGAATAATAAGAATATATTTAAAAGTAATTAAGTATATTGTTTTATATTTTTATTATTAAAATTATTAATTTTATAAAAAAAAATAATAAAAAATAAATTATAATAGTGTAATACACACTCATTTCTGTTTTTAACAAAAAAAAAATATTATTTTTAAATAAAAAATTAAATTTTTAATCATTTTGTTTTTTTTTTAATAGAGCAAATTTTGTTTATTAAGTTAATATAATTTTTTATGATAAATTAATGTAAAAAATGAAAATATAATAATCATTTAATGTTATTAAAGAGAAAAAATGAAGTTAAAACTAATTAAATAAGTATTAATTAAAAACTATGGTAAAAAATAAAAAAGAATAAATTTATCAATAAAATTAAAAACTTTCAATCCATCAGTGATTTAGTGAGAAAAAAAAAAAAAAACTATCTAAGTTAGTTTTTCTAATCCACTAGTGATTTAGATATTAACTGTTATCCACTAGTTTTAAACCGTTAAATTAAAAATTTTACCAAACATATAGTTTATAACAATTTTGAGATAAATAAATTTATTAAGCACTTATTGTTAACTGTTTAAGTAAAACTGCTAGCCACTAACTCCATAAGAACAATACTCTACTCATCACTTTATTACTTGAGCAACTAATTTACTTGTTAGTGAATTTCAGTGCATCACCTACTAATTCTTTTTTCACTGTTTCTATTAATTCTTCTTGAATTAACACTTCTTGATTCAATCTAAATCTTTTTCATCTCTTAGGGTTTCATTATTCTTGTTCTTACTCTTATCCCAGATTTGTTTCCTAGGAGGGGTGTTTAGAACCTAACTCAATATAAAAGTTAATGTGTAGCTAGTATGTTAAGTTGAATAGATGTCAAAGTGTTTTTATTTAAAAACAAGAGATTTGGTATTATTTTTCTATGATTCTATATCTCCAAAATCAATTTAGTTAAAGATTAACAAAACTACTTACATTCCCACCCTCTGCATAAAAAGCAGGAAAAATAAAAGTAAGTTTTAACTAAAATCCTCCATATGATCACAAATTTTTTCCTTAAACTTTTTCTAGTACTCATTAAATATTTTATATCCGAAAGATTTTCTCATTGAGTACTGAGTACTGTAATCCGACACGTATTAAAATTTGTTTCTTCTTCCTCAAGTACCTTGCTAAAAAACCTAATAGACTTTGTGCCTCAGTCTCCTTATATGAATAATGACAATCTTAAAATGCCAATTTATTTTTCGCTAAATTAAACTGATGAATATACTTTGATTTACAATTAATTCGGTATCAACCTTTTTCGCATTTTTCTTCTCCTTGGAAAGTTAAAATTTATTATGAAATGAAACAAATAGTTATTCACATCGGCAATAATGAAGTTGCAATTATGCAATTTATTCATGCAACTTTTCTTTTTTTATCTTATTCATGCAACTTTAAAATAAAATCCACACAATATATTGGTTTTCCACGGTACTTGAATTCTAATCTATACACAAAATAAAACAATAAAAGAAAATAAAAAGAAAGAAAGAAAGAATAGAGAAAAGTAGGAAAAAGAAATACACAATGAAATGCCAGTAGCACCGAAGGTCGATATTCATCTTCATTGGGTCCTCCTAATCCCATGCAATCTTTCAGACTCATTTCTTCTCCTCCTTCGGCAGATTTATTCTGGAAGTCGTCATCAACCATTGACGTATTCTCACTTGTTTGGCAAGTCCTGCGGGATAGAATCCCTACAAAGCTCAACCTTTATAAGAGGGGAATTATACTCGATTCTAGCCAAGTGATGTGCGGCTTGTGTGGAGATAACATTGAAGATGCCAACCATCTTTTTCTTCACTGCAGAGTGGCTTATTTGGTTAGAAGCAAATGTGCACGATGGTGGAGGTTTCTCTCGGTTCACCCGAAACTTGCCATGATGATTTCGAGGAACACAGGCCCCCTGTTAAAGACCCATCAGTGAGAGCTGGGTGGGATGTGTTGAATAGTTTGTAAATGTTGGAGATCCCATATCAATAAAGTATGAGAATTTAAAGGAGTTTATAAATGTTTATTTTTTATCAACAAATAATTAAGTAAAATAACACCTAAGGAAAATTAGGCCTTGGTCCTTTAAATATAATCAAAAGATGGGCACTTGGCCCTTGACTGCCAAAACATCTTTAATTTTTTATTATTTTTGGATTTTTTATTTTATTTTATTAAATTATAATTTAGAAAGACATGTCTGAAAATCAGACATGACTATTGGCAATCAAAAGGTACATCTATGAAATAGCATCTTTTGGAGGAACACATCCCTTCAAATAGTGACTTTTCAGGCATTATAAATTCCTATTTTTTTATTTTATTTTATTAAATTATAATTTGGAAAGACATGTCTGAAAATCAAACATGACTATTGGTAGTCAAAAGGTATCTCTATGAAATGATGTCTTTTGAAGGGATACATCCCTTCAAATAGTCACTTTTCAGGCATTATAAATTCCTATGTAATGTCAGAGTTCAACATCTAATTCTGAGAGAGTTTTGCGTTCTGTTGTATCTTAAAGGATTTTAAATCCTTAAGAAAAGTGAGATCACACTTCAGAACAATTCATTTATTCTTTTGTTATTTAATATTTCTTAACAGGATGTGGTATGGTTCTCCACTATACGGTCCCTTTGGATGGCAAGAAATGCAAAAATTTTCAGAAACCAAGAGTGTGACATGGATAGAATTTTTGAGCTAGTGCAACTAAGAGCTTTCAATTGGATTAAGGGCAGGAGAACTCGATATTCTTTCAACCTGTATGATTGGATGCTAGAACCAGTTTTAAAAGCTAAACGAGGTATACAGTAGGCTTCAAGTTGATGGTCGTTTTTGCATTGTTTCCTGGTATGTCTCACTGAGCAGCTATTTGACTTGGTTGTTTTATTTTGCTGTCACATGATCTAGTGAGTTATGGTTAGCTATAGTCAGTGGATGCTCAATGATTGCTTCCTATGTACAAGGGCAGGAGTACCCCTTGTACTCCATCAAATAAATTTCTTTTGCTGTGCAAAAAAAAAAAAAACCATTGACGTGTTCTTGCAAAAACAATGTTTCCAATCACCTCACCAACAAGGAATCCACATCCATGTATAACCCAACACTACTATACTTCCCGACCAAATCCAACTAGCAATTCAGAGTCTTCATCTCATTTAGAGGTTGAAGATGGTGGAGGTGACGAAGGTTTAGAGTTATCATACTTCCTTGACAGCGGCAATCCATAACCGAACGCCACTACTTTCCAACACCTAACCTTGACTCTAATAGAAGTTTTTAAGTCAATGAATACTAAGTCAAGCTCTTGTTACTTTAAGTATTTTCTTTCTGTTAGAAAAGATAAAATTATGGCATATATGTTGACTTTATTTAAATAATTAATCACAAAAAACCCATATCATGTCCTGCCTTGCTATCATTCCTTATCCTTTCAGCATAAATAGGAAAACGGTATTGTTCAATCTTGTCTTAGGAGAAAAGAAACAATAATATCAAACTTACTGTGAGATGGGTCTTCTTATAGGAGGTATTGAAATCATAGCAAAATGAAAACTAAATAAAGAAATAAAAGTCAGATATCAAAAGCTGCTTTTTAATTGGCCACTAGTAGGAGAAAGTTGGCCTTCATTTGTCTTCTTTCAAATATAAAATGTAACCACAACATTAAGAAATTAGTGTGCTAGGGGAAGATGTCATGAGTCGTCAAAAGAACTACAAATGAACAATAAATGCAACTCGAAGAGAGATGAGAGAGAGAGGTAGAGAGAGAGTGAGAAGGGACCGAGGTGGACACTGGTCGCGGGATAGACAGACGGCACAGAACTGGGAGCGAGGCAGACTCCGTCGAAGTAGCTACCAAAGGAACAGGGAACCGGCGGATTGGGGGAACTCAAAGGATGATCATTACCAGGGGCGAAAAATGCAGAGAGATGGGCCTTATAACTGGGGATTATACAAACAAGCAACATCATTCTTCTTTACCAACATCCCGGATGACTGGAGCTATGAAGAAATGTGGAGCACGTTCCTAAAGTTCGGCCGCGTGTATGACATTTATTCTCCAAAGAGAAGAAGCAGGAATGGGAGCAGATTCGGGTTTGTGAGATTTCTAGGGGTGACAGACGAGAAGGAACTAGAAAGGAAGTTGGATCAGATTCGGGTAAGAGATCGGAAGCTGTGGGTGAATATGCCAAGGTATGATTCTGAGAAGAAGGAAGTTGGGGTGAGAAGAAAAGGAAGCGGAATGATGGCTGTAACTCAGAACAGAAGTTATGCTGAGGTGGTAAAAGGAACACAAGAGAAGGAGATGGCAGGGGATCAGAGCATACAGAGCATGGTCATCCGAAACAGAAGTAGAAGTAATGACAGAGAAACTAAGAAGCAAGCAGGGCAAGACAAGCATAGGAGACTCAGAGGTAGGAGTAGACACAATCACCGGCAAACCGCGAATAGGAAAATGTGGAAAGAAAGAGGAAGGGGAGAAACCTGGGCAGGTATGGAGTTCAACATCAAACCGGAGGAGTACGCTTGGCTCGAAGGCAGCTATGTTGGAATAGTGCATTCCGTGGAGATGGTTCGCAATCTATAAGAAAAATTTTATATGGAGGGGTATTTTTCTTGTCAAATTCGAGCAATGGGAGGCAAAATGGTTCTGTTAATTGGTCAAGACAAGGAGGAAGTGAAGGACTTAGTTGAAATGGCAGCAGATTGGTTAAAGCAATGGTTCGAAGAAGTGAAACCGTGGTCATCACAAATGACAGCAAATGAGAGATTTGCGTGGATTAGGTGTCAAGGAGCACCAATTAATGTTTGGGGAAGTGAATTCTTCTCAACTATGGGTAGCACATGGGGAAAATTTATTTGCTTGGATGACAGTACAAGCAAGAAGGAAAGATTTGACATTGCTAGATTTTTGATTTCTACTTCAATAATGGAGACAATCAAAATTACAAGGGAAGTCAAAATAAATGGAAGCATATTCAAGCTGAAATTTATAGAGGAGGAATTCACGAATTGCTTCTTTTCTTTGAAACATGATTTTATGCCTTCCTTTAATAGTGACTCTGAAGATAATGAAACATGGCCTACCGGAACAGAGTCGGAGATGCAGGAGGAGGAAGATGAAAGGAGGGAAGAGGAGGTTCAGGCCGGGTGTTCAATTGATGAAGATGATGATGTCATAGGACGTAGGAGAGAGGAAGAAAGAAGAAATGTAGCTCAAACCAGCAAGAAAGTAGGGGATTCTGCAGAAACCGTTGGTGACAACCTGGAGAAGATTCAAATTTCAAATGCAACGGTAAAAAGCAGGTGGACAAACGGAGTGGCTACAGGGCAAATGGTGCAGGGCTCATTTTCGGAAAGAAGAGAAACAAAATCAGAAGAAAATATCCACAAAATGAAGCCCAGTATACAGTCGGTGGTAAGGCCCAGCTTGCAAGAAGAAAGCCCAAGGGTAATGGAGTCCACAAACGTGGAAGAGGCCTAAAAAAAACACTAAAGGAGACCTCAACCTCATCCCAAAACAGAGACATTTCTAGAACCCGAGAATCCGCAGAGGAGAAGGGCGAGGAAGAAGAAGATGCATTCTGGAAGGGGCATGAAAGAAGCCGAATAGAAGAATGGATCGGCAATCAGCTGGAGGAGATCAACTCAAAAAATGGTAGAAGGAAGATCAGAAGGTGCAGTTCGGTGTACAGCCAACCCAAAAACAGTGAGGTAATGGCGGGGAAAAAAAAAGGAAGAAAGAAGAAGAACATGCAGCAGATGGAGGAGAGATCGGTTCCAATCTTCCTGCCGAACCATGATGGGAAAGTTGCTGGAGATTCAGTAGGGGACAGTGAGATACATAATTGCAACAGGGCATTGAAGAAACAATGGCAAAACCAACTTGCAAAGGATATCTGGGACTTGGCGACGCAGCTTGGAGCGGTGGCGGAGAATGACAATGAAGTGATTCAACGAATTGAGGAGATGGAGGCTAGAGACCAAAGCGCAAAAAGGATTATGGCAAACCGAGAGGTGGAAGTCGGTGGGAAGGTATGTGATGCACCCAATGATAATTATGTCATTTAATGTTAGGGGTCTTGGAGGGGTAGGGAAGAAAACACTGATTAGGGAGTTGGTTGCCAAAGAAAAAATTCAATTTTTAGCAGTTCAAGAAACCAAGATGGATACAGTGGATAGGAAGTTCTGCAGAAGTTTATGGGGGTCCGAGGATATGGATTGGGTAGCAAAGTCTTCTAATGGAATGTCTGGAGGTTTAATTTGTATATGGGACTCTAAAGTATTGAAAAAGAAGGAGACTATAGAGGGTGACAATTATATAGGGGTGTTTGGCCTATGGGGACTGGAGGAGATTCCGGTATTCATTATAAACATTTATTCTCCGTGTCAAATTAAAAAAAAAAAAAAAGAGCCTTATGGGAGGAGCTGCAAGGTCTTATTAATAATAGAAGGGGATTGTGGTGCTTAGTAGGGGATTTTAACGCTGTAAGGAGGGTTGAGGAAAGAGCAGGATGTAAGGTGGTGTCCAATGAAATGAGGGAGTTTGAAGCTTTCATCCACAACACTGATTTGTTTGACTTGCCATTGATAGGGAGAAAACTCACTTGGTATAATTCAAATGGGCTCCAAATGAGCAGGATTGATAGATTTCTGTTTTCTGAAGAATGGATGTCAAAGTGGAGTGAAATGAAACAGTGGGGATTGAAGAGGTCTGTATCAGATCACTGCCCTATAGTGATAAGAAATGAGCAGATCGACTGGGGTCCAAAACCGTTCAGATTTTTTGATGCTTGGTTGGATCAACCGGGATGCAAGGAGGTGATTACAAGTGCATGGTGTGACAACGAAGTGGAGGGGTGGAATGGATTTAAAATAAAAGAAAAACTGAAAAGAACAAAGAAGGCACTAAAGGAGTGGAGTGGCAAAACCAACAGGGAGATGGATGAAAGAATAAAGAAAGCAGAGCGAATGATCGCTTCAGTTGATGAGAAAGGAGAGCAATACCAGCTAACAGATAACGATATTGAATTGAGGAGGAACGGTTTTATTGAATTGTGGAAGAACTTAAAAATCAAGGAGAGGATGAGTCAACAAAAAGCAAGAAAGCTGTGGTTGAAGGAAGGTGACGCGAATACAAAATTCTTCCACAGAAGCATCAAGGGAAGATGGAGCAGGAACGAAATCAATAGTATCCGGATAAATGGGGAACAACATACAGGAGTGGAGGTAATAAAGCGAGAGATTGCTAAGTACTTCCAAGAATTGTTTACAGAAGAAAAATGGAGAAGACCAAAGCTAGATGGAATATGCTTTAGGCAGATCACAAAGACTGATAATGAGTTCCTCATGGCTACTTTCTCAGAACAGGAGATTAAAGAAGCAATATGGAACTGTGATCCATCCAAATCCCCAGGACCAGATGGATTCAACTTCAGATTCATCATGACAATGTGGGATGTTATAAAAACTGATATATTCAACTTGGTTCGGGAGTTCCAACAACATGGTAGACTGGTCAAAGGGTCAAATGCCTCCTTTATTGTGCTAATTCCTAAGACAGAAAATGCACAAGCAATTGAGGAATTTAGACCCATTTCCCTGATATGAGTCATATACAAAATCATGGCAAAGCTTCTAGCGAATCGATTACGGAAGGTGTTACCTAAGGTGATTGGGGAGCAGCAGATGGCGTTTATTGAAGGAAGGCAATTAGTGGAGGGAGCAATGATTGCAAATGAGATTATTGATGAAGTTAAAAGGAAAAAGAAGAAGGGATTTTTGTTTAAAGTCGATTTCGAGAAAGCCTACGATAAGGTATGCTGGGAATTCATTGAATACATGATGATGAGGATGGGATTCTGTGCAACTTGGAGGAATTGGATTCAGGAGTGCTTGAAATCGAGCTCGGTGTCTATTCTAATCAATGGCAGCCCGACGAACCAATTCCCGGTTAATAAAGGCATCCGTCAAGGAGATCCATTATCCCCATTTTTGTTCCTGATAGTGGCAGAGGGATTGAATGGACTTGTGGCATCAGCAGTGGAGAAAGAGAAGTACAAAGGAGTGGTAATTGGGAGAGGAGATGTGATGGTCACGCACCTTCAATTCGCGGATGACACAATTTTCTTTGGAGAGGCAACAGAAGACAATATCTGGGTGATCAAATGTATTATGCGGACATTCGAGTTAACCTCAGGGTTGAAGATTAATTTCAGAAAGAGCCAGTTGATTGGTGTGGGAGTTGATTGAAATTGGTGTGCTAAAATGGCATATCAATTGTGTTGCAAGGAAGGAAATTGCCATTTAGGTATCTGGGAATACCAATTGGAGGGAATCATAGAAGAAGAGCTATGTGGCAGCCGATGGTGGAGTCCGTTAGAAGGAAGCTAGTCAGCTGGAGGGGTCGGTATCTATCCATGGGAGGCCGCATCACACTCATCAATTCAGTGTTGTCAAGTCTGCCAGTGTTCTTGATGTCTATCTATGTTATCCCGAAAGGTATAATTCATTCTATTGATAAATTACGTAGAAGCTTTTTATGGGGGGGGAAGGGAGAGGAGAGAAAAATAAATTGGGTTAGCTGGGATAATGTGTGTAAAAAAAAAAAGAGGAAGGAGGTTTAGGAGTGAGGGACTTGAGGAAATTCAATTTGGCATTGATGGGTAAATGGTGGGGAAGGCTAGCAGAAAATGGGGAGGGCTTATGGAAAAAAATTATTATTGAGAAGTATGGAAAGGGAGGAGGTCATTGGCAGGATTGGTTAGATGAAAATAAAGGAGTAGGTTCATCTTGGTGGAGGGACGTGAGTGGTGTCAACACAGTAGAAGGGGGTAGCAATGGATGGCTAAAAGAGGGCTTTAGGGTTAAAGTTGGGGAGGGTAACACTGTCAGCTTCTGGTGGGATAAGTGGAGGGGAGAGGAGAGTCTTGCTAATAGGTTTCCAAGACTGTATCTTTTATCGATAGAGAAGACGAAGATGTTCAGTGAAATGGGAAGTAGAACAAACGGGTTGTGGGAGTGGAAGTTAAATTGGAGAAGGAATTTGTTCGAGTGGGAAGAGGAAGAGGCAATGGAATTACACAACATGATTCAAAGCGTGCAGACGTCACAAGGAAGCATGGATAGCTGGGAGTGGACCCACAGCAAGGATGGCCAATATTCAACAAAATCTGCATATGCAATGTTAACAAAAGAAGAGAGGGAAGCATCGGAAACCACAACCTTCACAAGAATTTGGAACTCCATTTTGCCAAGCAAAATTTCGGCATTCAACTGGCAATTACTATTAGATAGGATTCCAACTAAAATGAACCTGCTGTCAAGAGGGATCATCAAAGACATTCAAGATTGCAGGTGCGGAATATGTGGTGAGGAAGAAGAGGACACAAAGCATCTATTTCTGAAATGTAACATGGTCCGGTGGTTATGGATGGCTTGCGCGAAATGGTGGAGTATTAATGTTACATTGGAAGAGGATTGCTGGAATACCTATCAAGTTGCTGGGAGAGAACCAAAAGAGAAAGGTATTAGGGATGGATGGGATTGCATTTGGAATTCTCTAGTGTGGACAGTGTGGCTGGCCCGAAATCAAAAAGTATTCCAAGGCAAAGAGATTAACCGGGAGAAGCAGCTGGAACTCATCAAATTAAAGTCCTTCCATTGGATCACAGCAAAAAAAGAGAGGTATGCCTTCACTTTAACGGACTGGTTTATTAATCCAGCTGCATGCTTGAAAGATTGCCATAGGAAAAGAAGGGTACCAAATGAATCATCTGTGGGAGGGGATGGTGTTGTTGATATATGGATGGTTTGTCTATTACTTTTGCTTTGAAGGGTTGAATGGCTGTATTATGGGGGCTCATTAAGGCTTTTTGAGCAAACATTGACTGTAGTGGATTTTAGCTGTAGTCAATGCATGATCAAGGTCTTCTGGGTCAGTGGGTGTGATGGGCGATGGTTTGTTGATCTGATCAGGGAGATTTATTGAGAATACAAAAGAAGGCAGAATTCCCATAACGGGTATAGTGCCGATACTTAATTTGGGTGTCGACACCTTGTGGTAACTTTTTGATGTTAATGGGTTTGGAGTACCCCTTGTATTCCGCTTATTAATAAATAATATATTTGCTGTTCAAAAAAAAATATATATAATGTAACCCTCTAGCAACTTTTCTATTTACCAAATTTGAACTAAAAAAAAGTTGAATCGCATATAATCAAGGGGATGCTCGCTATGTACTTTTAGATATGAAGTTGTTCAGAAAAATTTCCCAAGAGCAGCACTTTAATTCCACCATTCCGTCAACCAAACGCACAACACCTCACATTGAGAGATGATTAACACAGCACTTTAATGGAATTTGACCCTAAATGTTTTGTGAATCACATTAACAGAATACATTAAAGCAATAAACTTTTAGGCAGCAAAAGTTGCATTATTAATCTTTATGACTATTTCTATGCAAATTCCTTTGAGTTTTTCATTTAACTAAAAGCAGTTTCACCCTGATCCTTAAACAGTTTTACATTGTTTGAACAATCATTCTGCATTTTACTAACACCAAGATTAGATCCACTAATAAGCAAATGATATTTTTTAAATCAAGTTGAGGATTCAAGTCTTGGAGTTAATTTTTTTGAATGTACTAAACTGATACGAGAGGTACGCCTTTAAGATCACCAAAAATCCAAAGAATTAGTTTTGAGATAAGTAAAAACTAGTTAAAATACAATATATATATATATATATATATATATTATGCTTTGTCCTTTCTTCTTTCGTTTCCTTCCCCTTTTCCAAGTGAGTCTTTTAACGACAAGACGTCCGCTCAAACGCTCACATCCATCCATTTCATAGTACTTGTGTTCGCTTACGTGTAATCATACCATATTAGCCATGTGTTCACACATATACGTTTATTTCATATTAGCCATGTCTTTGCTCACATACGTTCATTTTATATTAGCTGCGCGTTAAAACACGTGCATTCATATCATATCAGCCATGTGCCCATTCACATGCATTTATGTCATTCTAGCCATGTGTTCACTCATGTGCAATCATCTAATATTAGCAATGTGTTTACACACATGCATTCATTTCATGGTAGCCATGTGCTCGCTCACATGCACTAATTTCATGTCAGCCATGTGTTCGCTCATATGCATCCATATCATATTAGCTATGTGTCCACTCACATGCATTCAATTTATATTACCCTTGTGCTCGCTCACATGCATTCATGTCAAATTAGTCGTGTGCTTAAACATGCATTCATTTCATATTAGTCATGTGTTCATTCACATGCATTCAAGTTAATTTAGCGGCTTGGTCGCACACGTATATTCAATTTATATTAGCCATGTGTTCATACATGCTTTCATTTCATTCTAGCCCTGTGTCCACTCTCACACACGTTCATTTTCTCTTAGTCGTGTATTCACTTTGATGAGATGCAATTTATATGTTTTAATGTCTTATTTCAACCTAGATTTTAATCATATTTGGATAGGTAGAATGTAATTTTATTATTTTTTCTTTTTTTTGTATGTATTTTGCGTAATTTTTATTGAATGAGCTAAAAAGAACTTCAATGCATTAGAGTAGAAGTTTTGGAAGTTAAGCGTAAATCTTTTCAAAGTTGAAGGACTAAGCTGCAAGTAAAAGTTCAAATAAGGAACTTAAATGAATAAATTATAAATTTCGAAATCAAAGTGTCATAGAGTAAAAGTAGAAGGACCAAACATCCTATTTACCATTGAAGAAATTGCAAAATTCCCAAAACTCGACACGGAGTACATGTCGATACCCTTCACTGCACCAAGCGAACATCTCGCATTGGAATAGAGATGACAGTTTCCTTTAAGATCCATAAATTTTTGCGGAGATTTTCGTCATAGGGATAAAGATTTTTAAGAATCTTCCTCCTTATAAAGTGAGGGCGGAAGCATTTTCTCCCCTATGAATGTTCTCCATCCTGTGGGGATTCACGAAGATCCATATAAAATAAAAAAATATAAATTTATTTATATATTTTTGTAAATATATTAACAATTAATTTTTACTCACTCAACCTAATTAACTAACTCAATACCAATTCAATCTAAATTTTACAGCCCATTCTTTTACCAGTCTTCCCAAACCCAATTGTCCAACCCATTCCTTTTGCACTTCCAATGAATCTAGTCTTCCCAAACCCAATTGCCTAGTTCAATTTGCGCAACTCATTTTAGTAACCCTAGTAGCCGACTGTCAAAATTTCCAAGTTCCTCCTGTGGCTATGTAACTCTATTCCTCATCTTTGATGCTCCCCAAGCTCTCGACGACAATGGTTGCTTGCTTGACTTGCCTCCACTTGCCTCCAGCTCCAAGGCTCCAACTCCAAATCCTCCTTACCTCACGCATGGTGATGACGCACGTATTGCCTGAGTTGTCTCCACCCCGTTGGGACCCATGCAGCTCCACTTCTAATTCTCCTCAAGCTCTTGACATAACCATAAACCCACTATCACCCATCTCTCAAGCTCTCAACATAATTGAGCTGAGGAATTTGTTTATTGGCGTGGGAGCAAAGAAAAGGAAAGAGGCAAGTAGGCAATTGCTTTCATTAAGAGAGATCTAACAAATTGGCAATTTTTCTTATTTTCTTGTTTGTTTAGCTTTTGTGCCATTGTTTTATGGTTTGTATTATTGTGGCCTTCTTAATTTTATGTTAGGGGTTATGCAATTTCATACTTGCACAACACTTTATATATATATATATATTGGGCACAAATTTATTTATGTATGGATTTCTGAAAGTTCTTTATATTTTTGTTACAAAAGACGTGTTCTTTTTTTCATATTTTCTGGGTCTGAGCTTTTATTCACCAAACAAATATTTCTATGCTAAAGAGATTTGATCAAATTCTCATAAATAAAGCAAAATAATAATGTAATGTACACAATTCAATCAATATTTGTTTAAGAAATAATCAATTAGTTCACAAGCCATTGACTCACTAACTAGTAATTTCTAATTTAATTCATTCTTAGGGTTTAGGTGGCAAATGTCTTTTTTTTTTTAATGAACTTTTTGCTGGATTTACTAGACTTGTATGGCAGTTTACGCCTTTTTTCTTTATGAACTTATTGTTAGACCTGCTTGACATGTATGGCTATGTATATTTAGTGCAACTGGAGTCTTGGACATTGCTTTGTTGAACTGCATGGTAATATATTTATTTATTTGTGTTGTTTCAAATTTTTACTTGACATGACCATTAGAGCTAGTTTTATTTGATGAAAGTGGAAACTAGTGGAGTCTGAGCAAACCCATGTTGATTGTTGAGCTTAATTCTAATTGACAAGCAGGTGATAGTTTATTAATTCTTTCCTTATGTTCGCTACTAGATTTTCTCAAGTTGTCCAGGTATGATTAATATTTGATGAGGATTCTGAATACCTATGGGGACCTATCTTTCCCCACGAGTATGGAGACGAAGGCTATTTTTAATCTTCCACCAACAATCCTCATGAGGATCCTCATACCTATCATTGGTGGGGATGGGGATGGGGATGGGGATGGGGATGGGGAGGGGTCCCCACCATTGCCATCCCTACGTTAGAAAGAATTTTTTTGCCAAGGATGTTGACACCTAGTTTTCAACTTTGACAATCTTGGCAATTGCAGCTCCTTTGAAGTTTCATTCTGTTTATTTACTTGAGATTGCAAAAAATCAAAATGTTTTAATAATTAAAATATCAAGATTTTTATAAAATTATTTAAATACTCTTAATAAATTATATTAAAAAATTCATTAAATAATTTAAATAATTTTATTAGAAGTCTTGATATTCTTTTATGGGGTGGGTGTGAGGAAACTAGGAAAATGCATTGGGTTAATTGGGAGAAAGCATGTAAAGGTAGACACAAAGGGGGATCTAGGAATCAAGAGTATTAGGTGCTTTAATCTTTCTTTGCTTGACAAGTTGTTGGAAAAGCTTGCTAAAGGGGAGGTGAGGTTGTGGGGCAACTTAATTAAGGCAAAAAATGGTACTGGGAATGATAACTGGATGTCATGGGTAAGGGATGGTAGAGGGAAGGGTTCTAGTTGGTGGAAGGATGTATGTAGGATAAATGTATTGGAAGAAAATAGAAATGGGTGGCTGTAAAACAATTTCTAGATAATAGTAAGAGAGGGAGAAGAAGTAAGTTTCTGGTGGGATTTATGGTGTAAGAAGGGTGTCCCCTAACTCATAGATCTCCAAGCCTTATATGCTTTTTGCAAGTATGGACTACAAGATAAAGCAAATGGGTGTTTGGATTAGGGACAGATGGTGCTGGACTTTACCACAGCGACGCTCCTCACTGGCCAGAGAATTGCAAGCAAAAGAAGAACTAGAAAAGGTGCTGGAATCGACTAAACTACATCAAGGACAGAAGGACAAGTGGGATTGGAAATTTAGTATGGATGGTTGCTGCACAAGAAGATAAGGATATTCCATTCTTGCTGCCACTCAGGAGGAGAGTCATAAATATGTCTTTGGAAGAGTATGGAATCCAAACGTCCCAACAAAGGTGTGTGGGTTTAATTGGCATTACTTTTAAATAGAGTACCCATTAAAATCAATTTATTCAGGAGAGGCATCATCAAGAATCCTACTGAATTGGTATGTTGCCTTTGTCAAGATCATATGGAAGACTATGATCATTTATTTCTTACTTATAAGGCCACTATCAAAATCTGGAATAGATGCTTGAATTGGTGGGGTGTTCAAACTATATTTGCTAGTAATGTTTGGGATGTCTTTATCAACCATGATGGCATTGCAGTGTCTAAACGAATGAGGATCGGTTGAGAGGTGGTGTGGTTTGCTTTGACTTGGATTATATGGCTCACGCGGAATGAATTTTGTTCAACCATACGAAGGTTGACATAAACAAAATATTTGATTTAGTTCAGGGTCCTTTCACTAGTTGACAAATAGAGGAAAGGCTTTGAGGTATTGTTTTTTAGATTGGCTCCTCAATTCCCATCTATGTAATGTTAGTGTTTAAGTGGATGGGTACATAGACATTGTAATTGTCATGTAAAATGGGTTTAAGTACCACTTATATTTAAAAATAAAAATAATTTTAGCCTTTAAAAAAATTTAATAATGTAAATGTCAAAACGTTTTAATTTTTATCTTTTACCATTTATTTATTTATTTATTTATTTATTATTATTATTTTGTATAGATCCCATCTCTTTGCTACTAGAATTTTGTAATTCTTTATAATAACTCATTTAAGAAATGCACATGCATCCATTTTACATTAACCATGTATTCACTTGTATGTATTCGTCTCATATTAACCATATGTTTCCTCATATGCTTTGTTTCGTCTTAGTCACCTACTCCCGCACGTACATTCATTTCATCTTAGTCATGTATACACATACAATCATCCCTTTAATTGTAGCCACGCAGTTTTTCTCTCGCCGCCGCTAGGGTTTCCTCGCGGCGTGCGAGACCCTCGCCTAGGCGCCTCTCCCTGTTTCTTCAGGGCTTTCCCCCTGTTTTCTTCTTGTTTTCTTTCCATGGCTCTTTCGTGTACATTGGCTTGGAATTATCGCACTTTTGGTGAGATTTACTCGGTCCTTGAGTCAAACCAATTTGGCCTCCAACATATGCCAAACACTATCCTGCTCCCTGCAACAAACCAACCGGGGATGGAGATGAATTTGTTTCGAATAGATCTCGAGTTGGATCACGTTTCTGTGTGCAATTGTGCAGAGAGAAGGGGCGGCTTGACTCTGCTTTGGAGTGAGGAGAATAACCTTCAAGTTTCCTTTTTCTCGCCATTGATAGATCTAGGGCTGGTTTTGCTGTTCTGCAGGCAATTGTGCATAGAGAAACCATCTCACATCGATGTTGTAATTGTAGATCCAAGTGGTTGTCAATGGCCATCAACAGGGTATTTTGGCCAACCAGAGATGGTTTCTCCTATGACTCGACGGCGTTTAGGCGATTTCAAGGATTTTTTTAGCAAATCAACAAAGGAGAGGGGCTTTCTCAGATTCCAGTTGATTTCTGCGGGAGGGGCCAAAAGGAGAGAATGCCGGTGGAGGTTGATTGGAGACGTCGGAGGTGTTCTGCAAGGGGAGAATGCCACTTCAATCTCAAAAGGGGCTCTAGTTCCCTTATTGAAATTTGGCAACAAAGGCTTGCAAAGGATTGGCATAGTTAGGATCATGGTTGGGAGCCCATGGCGACGAGGGAGGTGCCTGGGTTTGTATGGAGGGGCTCTAGTTCCCTCTTGTTAATTGAAACTGTTTTAGGGACGACATATAGTGGGCTGGGGACTGCTAATGTCGAATTTTCCCTGCTCTCCCCATGAAGCTGGCTAAATAGGTGAGGACGTCCAGTAGTTTCAGACACTCATAGCGACCTCCTTTTCTACTTTTGTAGCCCTATTTTGTCCCTTACAGTGATTGTAGCTACAATCTTAGTCACAGATGGCCCTCTTTACTTAATTGTCCATATATGTCATGGGCATAGTTTAAATCTGTTACTAATGCTGTGAGTTATGCTTCTATCCTTAATTTGGTTATAATGCCTTGCTAGAGATTCATCTGTAATCTCTTTATATTTAATATAATTCTCTATTTTCTATCAAAAAAAAAAAATTGTAGCCACGTTCTTAAATGTAATTCATTGCTTGTTAATCACAATCCTTCTCATGCTTTTATTTCATGAATCATGTTTTTACATGTGTGTTTCACCTTATTCCAATTTACTCTTTGCAATTGCATTTCATTGCACTCTGAATCAGGTTACTCTCTTAATTTTACCTTTCCTTTTATTAAAAAGAAAAGAAAAGAAGAGGTAATTGTGATAACCAAATTTTGTATCAAAATTTTAAAAATTGAAAAAAGATACAAAATATAAAAATATAAAAATTACCCAAAATTTTTTTGAAATGAAGTAATTTATTTTGTTTTGTTTTAGTATCTATTGCTTAAAAGCATTGTTTTGAAACTCAGCTCAACCCGATCGAGTCAACTAGTTAAACTAGATTTGGTTCTAAAAATGGACCAAATTATGAAACAATCTATTTAAAATCAAAACCGATAAAAACTTGTTTAGATTCAATCAAACTCGCTCAAATTCGATCAAACCCACTCAAATCCGATCAACCTGATTGATTCGACGATTCAACTTTTTTTTTTTACATTTTCACCTTTTTTTCATTTTTATATTTTTTTTTTGTTTAATTAATCGATAATATTATTATTAAATTGTAAAATATATTTAAAATCAAATCATAATTAATTAATTAATTAATGAAAATTTTTAAATAGATTTAAGTTTAATTTGAAATTAAATTATTATTTCAAATTAGAGAGTGATTATAACTTAAAACCAAATCGATTTGATTTTAAAAGCAAAATAATAACTATTTTATATAATGAAATTATTGAAATCAAATTAAAATTAAAATTAATATAAAGTAATTTTGGAAATAAAATCAATTACTATTTTAGATAATAAAATAAATGACATCTTTTTAAAATTAAAATTAAATAAAATCAATTTAAAATTAAAATTAATCTTAAGCAATTTTTGAAAGAAAATTAATATAAAGAAAAAATAATTTTATAATTAATGTGATATCAATGTTTTAGATATCTATTAATGAAAAATATATTATGTATTTTAATAAATTTAATGAATAAAATTAATTTTAAATTAATAA